TAATAGAGAGAAAATGAGAGGGGGAGACTGTGAATGAGAGAAAGTGAGATGAAGAAGAGAGAGCAAGACAGATGGAGAGTGGGAGGGAGAGAGACAGAGAGAAGAGAGGGAGTGAGTGAGAGAGAAAGGGAAGAAGGGGGAGAAAGAGAGAGAAACATTGAGTCTAATCAATATTATTTGAATGGTACTTATATGGTACTTTTTAATGAAGGGTGTTGTCACAAAGCAGCTTTAGAGAAAAGCCGGGTCTAAGACCCAAAGCCGAGGGTGACGGGTAAGAAAGAATCCCTCAGAGGAAGAAAAAGAAACCTTGAGAGGAACTAAGACTCAAAAGAAGAGCCCATCTTCCTCTGGTCGACACCAGATACAAAACAAAAACACACAAGAGCAGAATGAGTGAGTGAAAGTGAGTGAGTAGAAGTGTGTGAGATGCTTTCAGTAGTGAGAGGTTATTCTCTCTGTCTCTCTCTCTCTCTCTCTCTCTCTCTCTCTCTCTATTGGGTTAATGGACCTCCTCCATTAGCTTAAACTGCACTTAGCACTTTACTGGAAGAGCAGAGGAAGCATTCCCAGACACTCAGCCTCATCAGGTGGAAATCCCGCTGATTCTGTCTGCAAACTTACTGTAATGAAATCACTTCCATGTTCCAACTGTGGTCACGTCACATTGGCTTTGTTTACACATTTTCTCATGCTGTTTGTGTTGTTGCTATTTGAAACAAGGAATGTAACTCAAGAAAACAAGGAAGGAACTCATTTGTCACCTGAAAATTGCAGATATTAAAGGAGAAGTCCACCAACTGTGCAGAATGTCTGTGTAACAGACTCACGGATATGCCAGCAGTCATTCAGAGTGGACTGATGTGAAATGCTCCACTCCAGAGAAACTAATATATGTACAGTGGTGGTGATAGGAACCGGAAGTCACAATGTCTACAACACAAATACAGCAATTTTATTTACTATCCAAAATAGCAAAGAACCATCACAAGTTTTTATATGTAATGTTGATAATGGTTTAACTGTAGTACAGTGTACTTATCTGACCATAGTGTATTTTAAAAAATACATTTTAGGCCAAAATTTATCTCAAAATGATTGTAACACAATGTTTCAGGCATCAGGCAAAGTATTCATAACAATTTTGTGTAACAGCTTTCTGTAAGGAAGCTTTTAGAGGCATTTAACACTTCAGGCTGGTTCCTACTGCAACCACTGTAAGAAATTCCACTTTAAGGTTCCATGGAGTTATCTGGATTGGCTGACAGTTGTCAAGTGTGAACTGGCATAATATTATTTAACCATTGTCAATTAATGTACATCAGTCAGTAATGAACTGTTTGACTAAAACTACTAAAGTGTATTTCATTTGTGACCATGTAAAACTATATCAACCGATACTATCTGAAATTTTCAAATCGGTATCGGTATCAATGAGGAAATTTCATATCGGCCGGTCCCTAGCTCACAGTATAAGGGCAGGGTCCTTAAAATCCATTTAGATCTGGAATAAAGTCACTTTCCCATAGAGCACAAATGGGAACTGAACTTTCAACCCCTCAATAGAAATAGCCATTCAAATTCTGTAATATTTCTAGAATGCTCAGTCTGTTGTCGAATGCTTATCCAGTTGTAGAGCCCTAGATGAGAGAAGATTTTTCGAGTGTGGTTTTAGAGCTTCTGGCAGTGTTACCTAAGAGGTATTTAATATTTCATGTCTCTGATGTCTCCATGCAGCGCTTCAGTATGGAGGGGCTGTCTAACATCCTGCAGACGGGCATTAGACAGACGTTCGGCAACTCAGGGACAGACAGACAGGTGAGGAAGCATTACACAGCAAAATATGGCCATTACTGCATTGCGACCATGACCGAATTAGCCTCATTGTGTGGATGAATGACTGCAGCATTGTCTGCCTTTCTCTGAATGTGGCCTTTGTTTTCTCTTGTATTGTGCAGTACCTAAACACAGTTATCCCCTATGAGAAGAAGGCATCTGCTCCAACTGTGGATGAACTTCAAATGCTCACAAAAAGTAAGTGGGCCTTCATGTAGAAACACCAGTACATGACATGACATTAACAGTGGGGGTCTACATATTCAAAATGTTCGTTACAAATTTTATAATTGCATTTACACTTATGGCCACTTTATCAGGAACACCTTGTAGGTCCACATTGCTGTTGACTGTAGCCCATTTAAATTTGACTGTTTTTATTAGCTTGTTGTATACTTTATATTAGTCTCTCTCTAGACCTTCATCAGTGGTCAGTTTCTGAGTCATTCTCAGCCCAGCAGTGACACCTAGCTAACTAAAATTGTTGTTTTTGATACACTCATGCCAGCTCCACACACGCTTCCATACTACAATTTTCAGTGACACTTTATTTGGATAGTCCACTTTAAATGCTTTGTAGATACCTAATTTATTTTTAAGTTACAGTTAATTTAATATCTACTAAACTGACCATAATTTTCTTTCCTAACCCTAACCTTAACCTCAACTCAGAACCTGAACCCAACCTTAACCCTGGTCCAAATCCTAACCCCAAGCCAAGCGCTACAGTGATAAGGAAAATCTCCCTAAGAGCAAAACAACAAATCCTTGCTTTGGTTTGGAAAAAAGGTCCTCCACTGGTCAACGCCATATAGCAAAACAGTAACACAACAAGAGCAATAAGACTTGTGAACAGTAGAAAGGAGATGATTGTGGCCCAAACAGTACATAGAAGGGGAAGTGCTGATGGACCAATAATGGACTCCAGCCAGGGCTTATCAGGAGGGTGAAAGGTGCATGCAGGTAAGGCCATTGAAAGTACCATGTCAGAGTCAGTCTGCCACCCAAATTATTGGTCAGTAGCAGACCCTGGTCAGAAAATGACCAATGATGAATGGGGTATAAGGCGAATAACAAACTGTACATGACCCGCAAGGAAGGTGGGCCTTATAAAGTGGAAGTACAAGGTGGGTGTTTCTGATAAAGTGGCTGGTGAGTGTAGACTACAATAAATAAAGTGTGATTTGTCAAGTAAACTTTTTATGAACATAGACATGTTGTCATACTTTTCTTTCTCTTCTCTCTCAGTCCTGTACGCCATGAAGGAGGACAGTGAAAAAGTCCCAACACTGCTAACTGACTATATACTAAAAGGTAAAGAGTCATTCAGCTGTTTATTTCCTCTACATTTCACAGGTTTAGTAACAATCACACACAATTTTTAACCAACTGTGAGTAATTTGTACACTCTTCTTTGGACATAGAGTTCTAGAAAAAAAAAACTAGAACATAAATCAATCCGTCATTGGATTTGCAATGTTATGAAAACCGCTGTATAAACATGTATCCACCTAATCTGCTACAGCAGTTTAGCCCCACCCATTAAAGTTGAAGTTATAAGGAGTGTTCTGTTTAAATGAGCCCCAATACAGGGTAGCCAATCAGAACAGAGTTTTGCACTGACAGTGTGTAATGTGTGTGTTTTTCAGTTCTGTGTCCTACGTAAACTGCTGTGTGCTCTCCTGTCTTTGGGACTGTGAGGAAGGCTGGTGGTCTTCATCCCTCGCTCCGTGCTCCAGTCCCAACTGCATGAGCTCCCCGACCCATTTATCAACGAGGGACCCTTAACATCTAACCATCCCCCCTTCGCTTAGCTAATCCAGCTCATCTCACTGTCCTTCCTGCGCTTGCACATATCCACAAGGCCAGTACAGCGGCGCCCGGTGCTTTCCACCTTTTTTTACCGTATACTTTACAATGGGCCAAAAGCCATACGGAGCATGTTAGGGGGAAAACAGGTAAATACCAATCCGTCTCAGTCTCTGATCAGGTATTCTCTTTTATTTTCCTTTTTTAAGCAGAGCCCACACGAGGACATTCCCTTCATTCTCATCCGTTCAGATTGCAGGTATATTGAGGGACAATATTTAGAGACATGGTCAAGCCTAGATGCATTGTTTGTGCACATTATTGAATAGTCTATCCATCTATCGCCTTCTGCTTTTTGCTGTTTCAGTATTGTGGCTTCATTTCAGCTGCTAGCATGTTGTAATGTTCACCATTTAATGCCAATTTATGGGGAAGTCCATGACGACAACCAGAGGCGACTTTTTTTAATTTTGTTTATTATGTATTATTTTTTTGACCTTTAATCTTTTGTTTGATGATATCATCGATATTTTTTTAAAACCATTTCTTACCAGAGTGTGCAGTTTCTGCACTGAGTTAGTGTAACTCTCATTTATTATGCCATAATGCACTCATATCTTTAATGTATATATTTCTTGTTTACTAAGGGGCATGGAGGAAGGCAAAGTATGGCTGAGTCAAAGTTCAAATAAATGTCGAACCCTGTGAAGAAAACACTGGCTCTCTGTTTCTTGTTTCTTTAAAGTTTTTTTTTTTGGTTTTTGTATTTTTTTTATTTATTTTTTTTTGATGGATTTAGATGGATTAACATCATCAAGCTGCACCGCACCAATCCTGTAGATGGCAGCAATCCTGTAGATGGCAGCAATCCTGTAGATGGCAGCACCACAAAACCTAAAAACCACAAGTAACCCATAAACACTGGCAGTAGTTTTACATTTAAGGGCCAATTAAAAATGTGACCATCGCTACACCTGTTTAAAAACTAGGAAAACTCCCTTTGACAATGTTTCTTGAAGGTGGGAGGAACCATTGGTTCACCATTTTCACTGTTTTCTTTATGATTTAGTTTGATAACCAAGGTAAGTTATACTAGTGATGGGTTGTTTGTATTTCTTAGCCTATCAGATCAGATTTATAGCCTGTTAGATCAGTGCCTAGGCAAACAGTCACACCACAGGGTTTCCCAATGGCTGCTGCATGATGTTATTTACATAATGCATGCTGGGGATTATAGTGAGAGAACATCACTGAATAAACAACATGAAAACAAAATTAAATCATAAATTCTATCAAAACCGATGAGATCTGTCATTAGATCTGTCATTAGATTAGAACAAAAATGTACCAATATATTTCTCACCAGTTCTCATTTAATTAAAAATATCAATACAAAGTTTTTTCCTGTTTCCATATACAGAGAATGTCCCATATACATAATAGTCTGAGATCCTCCAGAACACAATGAACCTTAATAAAAGCTAATACACTCTGTTTGGGTTATGTACATGAAACACAGTATGGTTGGCCATATACAGTAAATGAATGTGCTCATACAAGTGCCTGTCCAACATTCACTCACAAAACACGCAGTTCAGCACTTCAGCTCACAAGCTGACAAAAATATAGCAACATTCAGTGTAATAATTGAATCTTGCAATGAACAACAGTATATGTGACATTTTTGGTAATAATCATGTAAGCATGGCAAGACATTGTTTGATGCCCTGTATTTAAAATAAAGGGGTTATTAAAATGTAAATAAGCCGTAGTTTGGCTTTTTAATTTGAAAAAGCTGTACAAAATAAAATAGAAAACAAAATAAATGATAATCCAAAAAGGATGGATTGATTATAGTTTTTCGTTGAAGGGGCTCGGTTGGTGTTACCATTAATGCAATTAAATATTCTGCAGTTCAAAAACAGTTCAATGCATTAAAAAGCAAAAGACATAACCACTAATACAGCATTTGGTGAAGAGGGTTTGTGAAGAAACGGTTAATAGAATCAATGTATCCTGACACAAATGCCTGACTATCCAGCCAAATTCCAGTGAGGACAGATTGTATGGGTTGCTGAATCACTAACAGAACTGTTGAGGGTAACAAAGGACTTCTATTGTAGTTCTCCCGAAATATTAGTTACATTGAAAAATGAAAAAGGACATACTTCGCCCCTTGCGGGCAAGCATATTTACTGATCTTACTTTGCTGTTACTTAAGAACACACTATTCCACATTCATTTCTATCTTTTAGGAAATCCTGTAGGTCCAAACATAATAATGACAAACGGCCACAAGTTATAGTATACCATTCCTGCTTGTCAAACCTGGATCATTAAGAGCTATTCATACACCAGTGACTAACACAGCATATCTTTGGTTTGATATCCAGTTCACTACTCCGAAAGTAACATTAAGTTAAATCATAAAAACAGTATATGTGTGTGTGTGTGTGTGTGTGTAGGGAACCATTGAGATGAAATAAGAATAGATATCTTATTTACAGGTTCAGGTAGATATCTATTTAGTTTACATCATTACTGCTATCTTTTTTGTTTAGAAACAAGAAAATAAGGACCAAAATATCTACTTTACTACTCGTATATGCCAATTTCTACATTCTGTGTTGAAAAAGAGCTACAACAGCTACATTTCTAAAAGCTACTATGTATTTATTTCCTATATATTTTTGGCCAAAGAACATTTAAAGGCAAATATATGTCGAGGGTGTGAAAAAAAGACAAACAATTCTCCTGTTTTGCTGCTGCTTATATACAAATGACAGGTGAACTTAATATAAAACATACAATGAAAAATTAAATAATGTGCACTAGGCCTTGAGTTCCGTTTTAACAATGTGTTTTAACATCTTTAAAAGAACAAATCAATAAAGCACAGTGTTTGCAATAACAACAACAAAGTCATTCTAACTAACTAAAGCTGAACAGTTGCTTGTCCATTATAACATGTGCTTCAGTAACTGTACAGGTCAGACTTCTCTGCAACACTTTTTTTGGAATACTCTGTTAAAGTATTTAAAAAAAAAAAAGATAATATATTAAATAACAGAAATAGGGGTACTGAACCAATGTTTTTGTGTTTTTTTATTACATAAACTCTTAATATTTAGTATATAAAAAACATAAAAAAAACATCACTGCAGTAAAGAGAGTTACATCATACTGCACATTCTTTGACTGGGCACCTGTCGGGTCAAACTGAACTGGGTCAGTGTAATCTTTCCACTGTGAGGTCCAGCAGGGGGCGCTGTAATATCTCTAAGCTGTTAAAACAGACTGGCTTCACACCAGAGAGCCAGCTTGGTTCTGTGCTGGCACCATGATGGGCACACCCCCCATCCGGGAGATGTTGGCGATGCTGACTCCAGTGGGGAGGGCTTGTGGGTGTGGCATCTGTGGCTGGGTCGCTTCAGTCCGGGGCAGGGAGCCTCCGTTGGAGCTAGGGGGAGCAGGGGGCTGCCGGGGCAGGGTGGGATCAGTGTTGTAGCCAGGCAGAGTGTGCTCTGGGGTGGCCAAGTTGGCGACGGGACGGGGACGGTAACCCGCTGTGCTGCTGGTGATGATGGATGCCGTGTCGGAGGTGGGGTGGGGGTGGGGATAGTTGTGCTGGTAGTGGTTGTGGGTGTCTCGGGGGTGAGGGCTGGAATGGACGGACGACAGAGTGCCATTCTTGGAGATGATGTCTGATCCTGTGCCGCTCTTCGCCCACGAGACGCGCTTGGGAGCCTGAGCGTCCTCCCTGTTACACACAGAAGGGTCAGACAATTCAGTATGGCATTCACCGTCCCTACAACACCTCACCCACACAGAGGATCTATGAGACAAAAAGCTATTGCAGTAGTAGAGATGAATTTTCTAATGTCCCAGAATTGGAACAAGACCTCATATGTCCAAAAAGGTAACAGGAGAAGGTGAAGGGATATAGATTACCTTGCATCATCAAATCTCAAGAATATATTTCTAACACTGTGCCTTTGTGTCAGCTTTCACCCAGTCATACGATCAAAGAAATGCCCAGGTTCTAAGGCTGAACGATTTGGGGAAAATATTTAATTGCTATTTTTCCGACTAGTATTGCGGCTGCAATTTAAATTGCGATTATGTTTTACAAATTGAGGTTCAGGCCTGATTTTTTTTTGGCCAGTTAAACGATAATGTCCAGTAATCATGGTTGTGATGCCACAGCACATGGAGGTTTGGTTGCCTCTGACTGGTCACAGGCAGTTCACAAGCTCTGTGTCCCCTCTTAAAACTCAAGATAACATTTTTGATAAGGCGCACACTTAAAAAAGATGGTTCTTCAAGGGTTCTTTAGTAAAGACAATGGTTCTATATAGAACCATGAACACTCAAACACCCATTTGCATGCTTAAAGTGTTCTTTGCGTGGAGAAATCGTTGTATATGGTTCTATATAGCACCAGAAAGATTCTTCTATTGTAACAAGCTTGACATCGTAACAATGGCAGAGCCCTTTTTGGTTCTATATAGAACCATATACAACACATTCTCCATTAATCTGGAGACCCATTTCACCATGCAGAGAACCATTTAATAATGCAATGGTTCTTGGAGTGTTCATGGTCCTATAAAGAACCATTCTCTTAAGAAGCTTCAAGGTTTAAGAACCTTGAAGAACCATCTTTTTTTAAAAAGTGTAGGCTATTATTTGAAAAGAAAAACTGCAGCTCTTGCGATCTTAAATTGCTATTTCGATATAAAAACGATTAATCTTTCAGCTCTACCTGTACCATCGGCCGCACCATATCTGGTAATAGACTGGATGTGGGCATTAACAAGTCCTTATTTCTTGTAACAGCATCTTTCTCAAGGAACATGAACCTCACAGAGAAACAAAAGGTTTTAAGAAAATGATTCCATATTAAAAATACAAATTTGATTATGGGAGACAATCTATATCTGTTCAAAGGAAAAAACATTCTTAACACTGAATGGAGGTTAAGGAAACAATATCTTGTTCTAAGTTATTTTGGACTATTTTAAGTTTTCTGTGAGATTTTTTTAACTTATTTCATTGCTCATGAACATTTGACGCAATGTAAAGGGCAACTGATCATGTAAAAAAGATACAAGGTTTTGTTCTGACAGCGATGATATATAAAATGTTTTGGAAATGATGACAGCACTGTACTCATGGAGAATGAAGTTGACATATACATTTATATGATAAATAATAAAATTTCAGTCTAAAATGTTTTGTATTTCAAAAATGGTGATCGAGTCTCAGGCAGAAATCCTTAAAAAGTTTATAGCATTTCACTCTCCACTGCATAAGTTACTACTGAAGAAAATAACAACTAATATGACAAGTGAGCCTAAACGTCTGAACGGTGCGTACCCTTCCAATGTTTAATTGAAGTAAATTTATTCTGGGATAAAAAATCCCTCGTCAACAAAACTCTGTGTGCCACAGTTATGGGCACATTTTGGTATTTCATGGAGTTCATGATGCCATGTTCCCTAATGAGGTTGGCAGGGCCTCTGGAGGAAAAACAGCCCCACAACATCACAGACCCTCCACTATACTTAACAACAGGTTACCAACAGGGCAACAGGTACTTTACAGCGTTTAATTATCATTTCATCTGACCATAGAGCACAGTTCTAGACCAAAGTCCCAATAAACTCCAGACGTGCCAATGATTGTGGAGGGAACTTTAAATACATGGATGCCACATTGCCTGTTGTTCTCAGTCTGAGGCTATACGTCAGCAGGTCCACCGTATTGGAATGGTCAAGATCCATTTGTGAACAAATTGAGATATGATGAGTTTTCAGTATTAAATCGGCTGTAACTTCCTTATTACTCGACCGGTTTTCACCATTTTATTTTGTTATAAGAATCAGAATTTCTGTGTGTAGCTATTCAAACGTCCAATATACATGGTGATATATTTGTAAATGTGTCATTTGTAAAAAATATGACAGCCATAAAAAGTGACCACAGGAAGTAATATAAGGATTATATAATACAAGGCAACGATGAGCAAAGACAATACAGCAAATCAGATACATGACATGATCTAGATTTTAAAAATCTTAACATGTTCAGAACTAGCTGTCATACAAACACATACCAGATGTAAATACAAGTATAAGGACTAAGCTCAGTGGTAGATTTCAGTCTGAGAGTGAATCAAAAAGTGCCAAAGAGATTTCTTAATTTTGAGAACACAGGTTAAAGTGAATAATAATAATAATAATAATAATAATATAAGCGTCTTAGCTGCACAAACTGTTGGATTTTAACCCAATTATCTCCCCGATTTAGTCGTTGCCAATTCCACCCGCTAGTTAGGACTCCCCCAGCACACAATACTATCAACGCTAGGAGGGTGAAGGCTGGCACAGGCTTCCTCCGAGACCTGTGAAACCAGCTACCGCTTCTTTTCGAACTGCCGCTCACACAACGTCATTGGACAGCTGAATGTGCTCGGAGGAAAGCACCAACCGCCAGATCTGTTCTGTTACTCAGGAGCCTTCTGCACATTTATTTCTATTTAATAAATAAGTGAGTATCCTCACGACCCAGAAGGATAAGCGGCTTAGAAGATGTGTGTGTAAGTGAGCATGCTAGTCAGCTAGCAAGCTCTGGTTAATCTCACACAATCACCAATATCACCTAACCCATCAATGTGTAAATCACTTACCAGCCTCATGCACATAAAAATGCAATAAAACCCCCAGGTCAGAAGGTGGTAATAAAATGTGAATATTTCACATGGATTAAGGTATGGCTGGACTTAGAATGCACATTTACCCAAAACTAATTGTCAGTGTAAATAAAATATTTTAACTATCGTTCTCATGTAGTAAAGATACTCTGTATAGACTATAAAATGAAAGAAACCACATAATAATTTTGGATGGTACTTAATTCACATAAAGTATCCATATATTATACACATATCCCCACATAACATAGCAGTTAAAGTCTTACTTGATGTCATTGGCCAGATCTTCCTCTGTGTCCCTCTTTCTTGTCCATAAGAAAATGATGAAGAGGACGATCAGGACAAAGCCCACCACTGCACCCACTGTGGCACCAGCTATCACCCCGGCATCCGTTGCTAGGCAAGAAGAGTAGGACAGTTATAATTCAAGCAAATTACAACAGTTACTCCTGAAAGCTCTCTAGTAGTACAACACGATTATGCATTTAGCTTCATCAACGATTATCAAGTGATTACTGCAATCTGTCACTGAGGAAAGGCTTAAAGACGGAGTAAAACATACAGGTGATGACCTCCAGGTTGATGTAGCACTTTTCCTCTCCTGCGGAGTTGGAGGATGTGCATTCGTACTTCCCTGACATGTTGCTGCTGAGGTTATTGAGCTTCAGAGTGCCAGCAGTCTCGTCTGAAAGAAAACACAGAGACACACGGCATGCATCAGCAAGTATACATTACAGAAGTAACAATTAAGCACACATTACAGAAGACAGTCTAGTCTACTGTCATTGATCATTATAAACAGGGCTGATGTGTATGAATGACATACTGAGCATTGGGGAGAAGAAGACCTCTGAGGACGGGCTGGTTTTGGACCACTTGTATTTGGGTGTAGGTTTTCCAGTGCTGGAGTGGCAGGAGAGTGTGACATTGGCTTTGAGTACTGGCTTCCCCTGCAGTGCACACACAGGCAGGGCAGGAGGGACTGCAAGAGAGAAAGACAAAGGATGAGTGCCAACTCTAAACCAAAAAATATAGGGTTCTTTACATGACATAAGCATAGTATCACTCTCAAATCCACCTTTAGAATTCTTTTATTCTTGCCCTGCTTTGGCATTCCAGCTTTGCTCAAATCGCAGTTTGTAGACAGTTTACGAATAACTGCTTTCTTTGAAAACATGGCCTGCCCTATAGTCAGTTTACAAGACTCTTATATGTGCTCGGATACAGCTGATTTTGAGGCCCAGACTTTACATAAGGACTTTGGTGGTCGTGGCTATCCACAGTTTCGGCTTGATTCTGCTTTAAATAAGGAACATGGTTTATACCATTTAGGTCTCCAAAAAGTGGTTCTGAAAAACAAAAAGAAATTTTCTTGTATTTTTAAATCTGTGTTTAGTGTTTCTAGTCAGGATTATATTAACAATCCTTTGCACATTTTACAAAGTGATGATCTATCAGATTTCTTTTTATAAATCCTCCACTCTGTGTCTTTTCTGGAGGAAAAAATGCAAGAGTTAAATTGAGATAAAATGCAGATACATATGTTCCCACTGCCTCTGCCTCTCTCTCCAATGTTCAAGGCAATTTCCCTTGTCATAACTGTAACTTTTGTTCCCAGTTTGTAAAATATAAATCTTTTACACACCCTCAGACTTTGAAAACATAAATTAGACAATTCATAACTTGTAGATCCACACATTGCCTATGTCTTCATGTGTCCTTGTCCTCTATTATATGTTGGTAAAATTAGACGAGCTCTGTAGACCAGAATAATTGAACAAATGAGTGTGATTCACAGACAGGATGACACGTCTAGTTTTCTGTCATTTTGAATTGGCTAAACATTCTCTTGCAGATTTATGTTTCCTGGTTATCAAAGGGTTTTGATGCAAAGATGAGGGACAAAGCACATGTCTTTGTTATCTAAAGGTATGAATGAGGATCGTAATCTCAATTGTTTTCTATAATGAAGACTGTCCTTGATTAATGTATTATTTTGAAATAGTTTCTGATGTTTTTGATGTACTTGATTTTTGTTTATGCATCTAAGCGTACCCTCTTGCTGGTGTACGGTTATTTTAAGAAGGGCTTAGCAGAACCTACACAGGTGAAGGCAAGTTGTTAAAGTGGTCAAAAAGAAGGAGGTTGAGAGAGTTGCTTCATGAGCACTGATGATAGCAAGAAGCTGAAACGTTTGCTCGGTTTGTGTCTGTTTATTTGGAATAAAAATTTTAAGAATACTATATGATTATTCAACTTATTTTTAGATGTTTGTTACTCGTTTTAAACATTTTATGCCTTAATTTTCTGGCAAGCATTCTATTTGCTTTTTTAAGCAGACATAATACTCGAAATAAGCAAAATTATCAAAGCAATATCACTAATAAAATGACTTTAACAAGTCCACATAACCTGATCATTTTTTATGTCAATCTAAAAATCAGAAATATTAGATATATTAACAAGATTTAAGATAACTTCACTTGCCAAGATATAATTTCTTGCAGTGTTCAGAGACATTAGTGCACTCACTAACTGCCTATACTGTACAGTCCGAGAGCTCTACATGAATTCAGGATCAGCTCTCCTCTCATCCTCTAACAGTAAAATCAATGTTAGGTGGTTAGAAGGTGTTAATGTGTGTGTGTGTGTGTGTGTGTGTGTATGGTGGGTCTTTTTCTTTTCCCATTGTGTACTTACTCTTCACATTAAGTGTCAGCTCCATGGGAGATCCAGAGGCACCTGGCAAGACAACCTGGCACGTATATTTACCCGAATCTGACTCCACAGTGTTATTCATGTAGATCGACAGGTTGTTGCTGGGCATTGAATTGACAAAACCCACTCTGTCTTTAAACTGAGCATTTTGATCTACAACACCACTTACAAAGGAAATCACCTATAGAGAGAGAGAGAGAGAGAGAGAGAGAGAGAGAGAGAGAGACCAAGAGGAGCAATGAATGACCTGGGAAAAATCTATACAGTACAGGCAATGATATTTGTCATAATCCATTAAAGACTTATAGTAACAAATAACAAGGCAATGCAATTTTTTCTATCAGTTGACCATAAACTACTGCCAAACGTCATGTGTGGAAAATAATTACAGTGTCAAAGAACTTGTAAAGTGCACTTATAAAAGTACAGCGCACAGTTTTTTGTAAATACACTGACATAAGTGGACTCTGTTTCCATCTATCTATGAATTCTGGAACATAACAGGTGATGATAGATATTAGACGAATTGGATCAGGGATGAAAATGTACAGAAAATATCTAAGCAGTGCTAATGAAGGGTGTAGTGATTTCATAATGGTATCAAAAAATTTTTCTGTTTGAAATTTTTTATTTAATTGGATAACCAAAAAGCGGCTGGGTTTGGCTAGTGTCTGATGAACATGCCAGAGCACTGAATTCTGGAGGTTCTCCTTTTGGCCGCCAACTTCATTGCAAAGGACTCGTCAATTGACATATATAACAGTCATAAAGCACTCAGAAACAAGCCATAAAGCACCCACCATAATGGACTTGTCTAACATGTTCCAGATAACAGTGGCACGGGTGATGTCACCCCCTGTGTAGTAGGCTTGGAGGACCGCCACCTGCCCCTGAATCACCTCCACATTTGACTGGGGCAGCTGTAGCTGGGCCAGTACACCTACAGAAAGAGAGAGAGACGATGGCAGAGAGTTTAGTATAAGCTGTCAGCATTCCCTAACAAAATACTGGGCCGCAGAGACAAACAGATGAAATAACAGTAGGAAAAAAAAGGTTTATGTAACAGCTGTGGTGGAGAGAGGCAGTTCCAGAGTCAAAGCAGAAATGACCAAGAACAAACATACGCAAAAGAGATTTTGAGCTTTATCATCCAATACAGGAGAATTCAGATCCGTTTGTAGTAGTAAATATCAGTAATGACTCTCACAAAACACAGCCTTAAAGAGAACCTGAGAAACAATGGGAAGAATTAATCACAATAAAAGGACACTAATGGGATACACTGGTATCAATAAAACTCCAAAACTTACTGACTATACATATAAAACATTTGTCTTCTACTAAACAGGGCTGTTCAGACTTATCCTACCTCATAACACACACCTCATTCGAACCCATTAATTAGGACAGATATTCCACAAATTAAGTATTGCCAACTCACTAAACTTCAAAATAAAAGCTACCTGCTGAGAGGCATTTCAAAAAATATATTGTCGCTGTTCAAAGAAACCCCATGTATCTCCATTTTTGTCGATTTTTATTTTTGTACATCATTTCAACACACCAGCGGTCTGTGAAAATTTCATGATGAATGAACCAATAGAAATGCTATGAAATCACTTGGAATAAAATCTTTTTACATTAACTTACATTGAAAGATAAGAGTTTTTTTTGTCTTCTACTGTAAAGTTACTATTTTGGAGATAATTTGTTTTCTTTGGACAGCGTGAATATTTAACACTTAAAATTTGAGCTTTGGAAATAAAGTAATACACAGATACATACTTTGCTATTTGTATTTGTTTGATAAACAAATTTCAAGCATGTATGCAAAAACATTTACACCAAAACTCAAAGTCTGAAGTACATAAAGCAGATCAGGATACTGAAAGACATTTTGTGAAATATGATACATATCACAATATTCTGACACACAGACTCTAGCAGGCACTAGCAGGACCACATTTAAAAACTGTCATCACAAACGATTTTTATTCAGCTTCATTCTGTCCTGCAATAAAATCAATTAAACAGGACTAATTTTGCTCTTTTTAATCAACATGCTATTCAGTGTTCTTTGAGCACTGATAATATTCACAATATGTCATCACAAAGCATATCATCTATCATGATAACAAAATCTATCATTAATATGCTAAAATACTGTCATATTGCCTACTCCTATGCAAAACAACAGCTAGCTAAGCCAGAGGCATTTGGAGTGCTGTGAACTAATGAACTGCAACTCTTCGGCCACAACCACAAAAAGTGTGGTTGGAGACAAAAAAAATCAGCATTTGATGAAAAGAACACCGTGCCAACGGTTAAGCATGGGGTGGGTCTAGTGTGGGGTAGTGTGACAGCTAGTGGCACAGGAAACAATGCGTGGGTTTTCATTAAATATCAGCAAATATATATATATATATATATATATATATATATATATATATATATATATATATAATCTCTATGAACAACTACGTGAAACACAAGCATTTGAAATGGCCCTTACAGTCCCCTGATTAAACATCTTTGAAAATCTCTAGATAGGTCTTAAATATAATATTTATCTGGCATACATACAGCTGTATATTAAATCAAGTTCTGTAAATGTGCACATTTTTACATGTTTAACATCACAGATTTCTTAGTTGGCCTCAAAGTGCAATTATGTGTTGCGAAAAGTTGCAAAATAAATATTTGTGCCAATCAACTGAAAAAAAGATCAAGAGCCTACTCAGATGATTTTGGAAACAGCCCAAATCCTGGTATGGGTTTATAGATGGACCTTATAAAATATAAATCTATGATGAGTTGCCTGCCATAGTCTATAATTGATGATTCTATGCCGTAGTCTACAAAACTGATGATTCTATGGATAGTAAAGACTAGCATCCTTCCTCTAAAACTCCTGAAGAACTCACATTCTCCCAGGTGGAGATAGACAAGCTGTATCCAGCCCTCCTCTTTCTCATCCATAGCCTCCAGCTTGTCTCCCAGTCCTCAGCAAGACCTTGCAGAAAAACACTCGCTCCCAGCAAACGGACACTGACAGACTGCGAGATAGAATCCCACTACAAATCCTCTATTCTTTCAAAAGCTTTAAGCGCATTCAGCTGGAGAAAATTAAAAGAAACCTGGTGACGTAAACTACAGGCATCTTTCAGGCTTAGTGAACAGCATGGTGGGGGGAATAAAGAATTTTTCTTCAACTCAAGCAGACATCACAGTAGTGACAATTCTTAAGCTTACACCCAGATTTTCAGATTTTGGGACACCCTTTACTTCAAAACAATGGGATCTAACCGCTCACCATGTGGCCACGAGGGACAGGGATGCAGTCTCACTTCCTGCTCTAAAATGCAGGGGTGTGGCTAAAACAAGGCTCTGCCTATGGAATGAAACTCTTTGTGTTTCGGTAGAGACATCAAAGTATTGGACAGCATTCTTTAAATATATATATATATATATTTAATATATATATATATATATATATATATATATATATATATATATATATATATATATATTAAACTTTAACGCTATGATAATTCTAAATCTTTCAACTTCAAATTTTATGTGTGTACAACTGTTCAAAGCTGTGTTAGCTAGTCATGCACTTATGTTTTTGTTTCAAAATTAGATAAAATTGTCACTACCGAAACGGTCACTACTGACACATTTGGTAAAGTTTCAGAGATTTTATTTAAATTGTTTTAATAAAATAAAACATAATTAAGGTCAATCAAATTAAAATGATTAATCTAATGTCTGAAGTCCTATGCAGATGGGCTTAGTTTAGCATGAGAAGGCAGGGTAATGCAAATGTTACCAGCATTTCTCAGTGTCGTAGTGCTGTCTGAATGCGCCGCATCAGTCATTTTTACAGATTGTGAGCTCCTGCTTCAGTAAAAATTATGGTGCCTTTTACTTTCTATAGAACGAGCAGTAGGAATAACCTTAGGCTATACTGATCCTGTGCAAACTGACCAGTTTTTCCTCACTATGGAGTCACTTAAAGAAGCGCTTACTTTGTTTTCTGTGGCTCAAATCTAGAAAATATATAATGTTACAGTCCTTTTTTCATGTGCACAACTCAGAACATGTAAGAATTACACAAAAAAAGTCTGATTTTATGCAGTGAAGCTGACTGTTTGTTGTGAATTCCCAAGCTAATAGCAGTGCCAATAACACGGCATTCACTTAACACAGCAAGAATAATGGCTAAATTAAATGTTTTGATGATTTCTACTCTTTTCTGAAGTAAAGGTGGTGCAAAAGCAAGTAACCACTCCCATCTCTGTCATTTACCCTGAGATTTATTATCCCGTTCAAAACGGTCATAAACATTACAGACGTCCTGGGGTAAACAGGCATAATCTCCCCATGGAAAACTAATCCAATCTGAATAGTGCTTGAGTTAGTTAAAGGTCTAAAATTAAGTCTAAAAAATTCATATATGTTCTTTTTTTATGATTTTATGATTATTACTCAATTAACTGTCAACATTTTCAGTAGATTATTTGACTATTAATATATATGTTTTTAACAGTGGTGGTTCTAAAAACACTAATTGTAAGAAAGGCAAAAAAACAGATAAATAGATAGAGAGAGGGAGAGACCGACAGACAGACAGACAGACATACAGAGAGAGAGAGAGAGAGAGAGAGAGAGAGAGAGAAAGAGAAAGAGAGAGAGAGAGAGAGAAAGAAAGAGAAAGAGAGAGAGAGAGAGAGAGAGAGAGAGAGAGAGAGAGAGAGAGAGTGCATCCCTAAAATATGACCATAGGGCCCTCTCTGCCATCTTTACCCAGAATCCTCATCACTAAGTCTAAGCGCTCTAATCCTTAAACAAGATGTGGCCTGCACTCTCTCCACCATTTCTCCCCACTATGGACGGCTTATAGCCACATGTTTGCCTCCCAGCAGCCTTCTCTTTCTCCCTCAGCACTTCTATAATCAGTGTAGGTTACAACAGTTGCTTCAAACTCCTCTTTTCCCAGCAATCCTTAATCTAGGATTTACAATAATACAAGCAAATCCATGATCACATAATTTTTAAAGGGCCCACACACTCTCAGAAATAAAGGTAGTAAACTGTCACTGAGGCAGTGCTCCTCTTGTCACTGGGGTGGGACCCTCAAGGGTACATCTCAGTACCTTTAGTCAGGGAACATAACTGTACCATAATCCATTGAAATTATATGTTCTAAGATGTGTTGACTCCACACACCCCGTCTCGTCTCCAGGCTTTTATTTTATTGTTCTGTTTTAAAACATTAGGTTATGAAAAGGTACAAATACAGACTTTTCACTTGAGAAAACTTAATTAAGGTGCACTACTGGACCCTAAAACCACTGTTGTACCTTTGAGGGAACATTTACATTGTTTGTACCATAACAAACGACAAATGCAGCTGAACAGCACCTTTATTTCTAACAGTGCATTATATAAAAAAGTCAAATAAAAGAGTTTGATGTATGTACAGTATGTAAGTACTGTGAAAGTGCTCATATCTTAAAATTTTATTTTTTATACAACAAAAATGGTCATAATTCGTTTTTACATTTGACCTTTCATCCCTTAGATTTTAATAGGCTAGTTTTGTTACTGTGCCTGATATGAGATAAATGAGTTCTATTCTGATTGGCTGCTCTGTATCATGCCTCATTTAAAAAGCACTCAGAGCTGAAACACTCCTTACAATTCAATATGAAAGGACAGGCTGAACTGCTGTAAGGTGAACAGGTGAATATATGTAAACAGGCTGTTTTTGCAGCATAGTTTTCACATATGGACTAGAGGGTAAATGGTACGTTTTGAAACCTTAGCAATGTTAACATATCACATCACATATAATCTTTCTGTGCTGTTTGTCTGCTACCCTTTCTATCACTGTTTAAAATCTACACAAGGCTTCTTTTTCAGAGTGTGTACATT